ATTGTAATAGCATTCTTCTTCCTAGTTAGTCTTAATAAAAGTCTTAGAATTTTAATAAGCTTCATAACAAATTTATACATATTCCTATGAATTTCAATAGGCTTCTTATTCATTTTCATAAGATGTCTTACAATTTCTAATTGGGTTCCTTTTGCTTTGACAAGCTTCCTATTCATTTAAAAAGGCTTCTGATTAATTGGAATAGGCTTCGTACTCATTTTAACAGGGTTTCTCATTCATGTTGACAGGGTTCCTAATAATGTTCATAGGATTCCTACTAGATTCCACAGTGCTCCGATTATGTTTTTAAATCCTGTTCCCTATTCATTTCAATTGGACTCGAAGTAATGTTATTGTAACTCTCATTTGTTTTATTAGCAATCCTGTTATTTAAATGTTTTAATAGGGTTTATTATAATTCTAACAGTACGACTCTTATTGTTTTAAGTTTTGAAGGGTTTTATAGAACTTTATTGGCTCCTCTTAATCCTTTAATAGGATTCATCTTCATGTTACACAGATTCCTGTTACTCTTAAAAAGAATTCATAGATTCTTTTGTAGGGTTCCTATTAATTTTAATAGCATTCCTATGAATTCAAAAGGGTTCCTATTCATTTGAATGGCCTTCCTATGGTTCCTCTGAATTTAGGACGCCAAGAAATTTTAATAGGAGCTTCTACGTATTTCAACCAGGTTCTTATTAATTGTACTAGGATTCTTACTAAGTTTTCACAAAAAGACTCGTCTTAATTTCAATAGGGTTCTCATTCATTTTAATGGGGTTCCTATTGATTTAAATAGGATTCCTATTGAACTCATACGAAGCCTATGAATCCCAATAAACTTAATAGGAACCCAAGTAAAACTAAGAGCAATCTTATTAAAATTAATAGCAATCCACGATGTCGAGCAAATTGTTCAGGTCCTTACAGCATGCGTCCTTCTCACATCTGTCTGCATCTTTCATTGCGAACACAAAGCCGTACTAATCGAAAAAAAATATGCTCTATTGTGTGTTAACGTGTCTGGCTACTGTGTGCAGCTATGCTGTCCGTCGCGCCCTCAGCCCTTTTTTTGCTTCCGGGGTCTGTAGGGGGGGGGTGAGCATATATATATATATATATATATGCGTGTGTGTGTGTGTGTGTGCGCTTGTTTGGTTGTTGTTTGTTTCGTCGTATTGGTTGTGTGTGTTTTCATTATATACGCCAATGGCGGCGAGGGGGGTCTTGTTGTTGGTACTTGAATGTCTCAAAGATGAAGAAATAGACATGTAGATATCTATATATAGACGGAGATATGGTTGTGTCCGCAATCAAATTCAACCAGGAACTTATACAGAGAGAGAGAGACTGAGAGCTGTCCACCCTCTCGGAAATGCTGCTCTGAGCTTTGTCGCACGTAATCACAAACAAGGGAGAAAGGCCCCCAGGAAAAACAAAAATGGCCTTCTGGCCAAACTATCCTCGAGAGCACCGTAAGGCAATGCGAAATGAATTTAGCGCGTTCAATGAGACATGCGTGTTTCGGAAGAGAAGATCCAGGGGCAAGGAGGGAGGGCGGGACCACTCATGTGTTTTCAACCTCTTTTTAAAGCTCGTTTTGGGGTCTTCCCCCCTTGGCCTCGAAGCGCACCCCACCTTTGGCGGGAAGATGCGGGTCCTTCGGCAGAAAAGGAGACTGAGGCTCTGTGGGCTCTGGCTTCAGCCTAACACTGAACGTCACTGAACGTCACTGAACGTCAGTGAACATCACCGAACATACTGAACTTCCTCTCGCTGATCCCATTCCAATCCCCAAATGTCGCGCGGGAGTTCCTCGGGGCCTGTGCCGGCAGCCAGATGCCGCCTGAAGAGCGGACGTTGAAAGGCTTGTGACTTGCAGCATGAACGAAGTCGCTCATGGTCTTGATGGCTCTGGGGCCTGGGGACAGCACCCTTCCTTAGGAGGTGAGTCGGCACTCTGGGCATCCCGCGTCGCCAATTTTGTTGCCTGGTTGGCCTGCCATCTTCTGCAACAGCTAGTGGCAACTTTCGAGTTTCGAGCAACAATGGCAATATGTGAGTTCTTGTGAAGTGGGCACTGGCCGTTTTTGCTGCCAGGCCCAGATACCCTCTCTTTCCCGCAACATCCGATGCCTCTAGCATGACTGCCCATAGCACAACCTGAGCGAAAACATGTGCACGTGCTTGGACAGGGTTGGACGGATATCTTGACCCAGGACAACATGTCAGTGGGAATAAGCGAAAGAAACTCGGACAGCGTTCTGAACCTTCAATTTCCTCATCTTAGCAACGCTCCAAAGCTCCTCACCTTCGAATGCTCAAGCTTGCTGCCCTGTCCTCTATTCTTCCTCTCCAGTCTTTCTGCAAAATTCCCGTGGTCCGCACCACAAAGACCAGTGTCACCACAAAGGAGAGACTGAGAACGCACGCCCCGGGCCTGGGAGAAGGAATTCGAAGGTCCGACATCTTCATGATCCCTTCACTACTTGCCTGCATTTTTGCGATTGTAACACCTGTTTGGTGCTGGTCTGGCTTTGCAGGAAGACTATTGCCTGCTCGAGAAGCAGCACCAAAGAAACTGCGTGCCGATAATTGATGGAGGGTCAAGCCAGGCTCAACCGAAGCAATAACATGCAGCAACCTGACAAGAGTGATGCCGGATGAAACACCCATGCAACCTCACCCGGCTGAGCAGAAGCAAAGTGGATGCCAAGCAGGCTTGCCAGTGCTGACATCTTGGACGTCTCATAGCACCTCGGAATGTTCCTGCGCTTCGCGCGAGAACAAACAAACTTGTTAAAACAAAACCTCATAAGTACGTCCACACCGGCCCATCCTGAGGCTGATTCATTTACATCCAAATGCCTTCGGCACCCACCCACCCCGTCAGTCTAGCAACGCAGTTACTAGAAGTATGCAGTATGCCCAACAATCCGGGACAGCTAGTTCTTCGGCCGTGGACACCGGATCGGGTGGACAGCGATCTAAACCCTCAGCGGGGCTGTTGAATTCGTGCAGTCAGCGTGGCATACTCCAAGGCCAGGCACCCTCAGTGCAACCTTTTCTGAGGTGCTCCTTGAACTGTTTGCCACCTCCTCACCAACAGTTGGCAAGAGGGGCGAGATTCCGCAAGGGTGAGAGCTGACTCGCACCAATTCTACCGACTCCCTAACCCCCGCCTGCCCCTCGAAAAAGCATGGCCCACATTGCCCATACTCTCAACACTCTACTCTCAAAGCCTCAAGGGCGGTTCAAGCGCTTGGAGAGAAAGCCCTTCTTCGATGTCACATTCCTCGTGCGTGGAGCGGCATCAGAGATATCGGGAGGTAGGGTTGCTCGGGGATCTTACATAACCAATTGCCCTGGACCGATCTGGTGCATTCACCATCCATTCGCCCCTTACTGCCGTTACTGCCCCGACTTGCTGCAATGAGTCGTGCCATGCAGGTCGCGGTCCCTCACCTTCAGGGCAGACACTCAGTTGCAATAAACATTAGAGTCGGAGAGCTAATTCAAGTTGCATTTAGGTGCGGCCAAGAGGGACCGGCAAGCCAGAACACACACCTGGTCAGCCGCCTCGAGAAAAGTCTCCGGCTTTTCATGCGCATGCTTTGCCACCGCGAAACCCAGGCGCTTGTTCCTCGTTTCACAGGTGCTCAAGGTTTGCCTTGAGCTTCGGGTGTAGGATTCGATTGATTGTTACACAACTTTAGGAGTGCGATGCAGCTTGCAACTTTCCCAACCCGACGTAGCCCTAGGAGAGATGCAGAGATAAGACGCAAAGCACCCTGTGGATTTGGGATTTGTTATGCAGTGCATCGCCCCTCCCCAGGTTCAGAAACGGGCGGCTCGCGGTCGAATACGGTGTAGTACCTCGGCTGAATGTAGCTGGGAAATCACACTTGCCTCAGCAGACAGGACATTTACTTCGGAGGATCAGAGTATGCAAGTACAGCTTGAGGAGTCATCCGAGTAGATTCCGGTACTTGCCCAGGCACTTCTCCAGGAAAGGAACTCCCAGCACGAAGAGAGGGCCTGTTCAGGTGCCGGCTAGACACGACTTGCGGTTGTCCAATCTGGAAGTCTTGCCACAGACAATTTCGATCCCAACTACCGCTTCTGCGCACAGCAGCGCGAAACCCTTTGCCCGAGACCCCTTCAACGACCACGACCATGCTGCGCCCCACATAGCCATTGAAGTAAAGATAAGATTTCGGGAACACCTCGAGCCCTTCAAACGGCCCTCCCGTGCGCCGTTGGGCGGAGGGATGTCCAAGGGCATGAACGCCAAACTGCAAGGCCTTGCGTTTTTTGCGGTTTTTACAGCAGTCTTTCAGGTAAACACATAGCATCACATAGCAAACGAGAACACACACACACACACACACACACACACACACACACACACACACACACACACACACACACTCACACTCACACTCACACTCACACTCACACTCACACTCACACTCACACTCACACGCACCCAAGAAAAAGTGCTTAAAGCCACGACTTTGCTATGCTTAAACGTGTCGTTTATGTAAACGAGACCTCCATCGAAGATCAGGAAACTTTCAGTCATTAATAAAACAGAGTGAATCCGCCGGGGAGCATAAAGCAGGAACCCCACCTCTAATCCGCTCCCCAACACGCCTTGACCACTTGCGCGCCCCTCGTTTGCCGGCCGAGGCGGGTCGCGTAGCGTTAAAATTAGAATCCTTTATATATCCTCAAAAACCTCATGACTTTCTTGAAGTAAATGGAGTTTGTGGGCGAGCACACCCTCACTTCGCTCGGCAAATTCGCTAGCTCGTATCCTGCACGTCCTAACTCTGACGGAGCTTTTGGCTGCTCATGACCCTATGACAAACTAAAGTATGTACTGGGGCCATTCGTGAGGAGCTCGTCATTCCTGATATTCTTGCCTAACATCCTGACAATGCTTCATGGCAATTGGCTCTGAGTCATGGCATGGCCAAGCGTAGCCGACAAACTCACTTGGAGGCCACTCTCATCAGGAGGCCGCTGGACCCTTGAGCTTCCCAGGCAAGCCGCTGCTCGTGGGTGTAATGCTCTGGAGAAAGGGACAGAAGCTTCGTCTTGCCGCCATGCTCCTGTGCACGGAATTCCATGAAAGCTATATAGCTTTCTCAAGATTTCCTATGAATTCATATGACTTCATGCGTGATACATCATGGTACTCCGGGTCTCCTTGATGGCGAAGCCAAGCTTTGGAAGCCTAAGAAAGCGTCTGACAGTCTCCGGGTGGACAGCACGAGCTGGGCTTAAAATGCTTGAACTTCGATTCTTCCAAATTCGCTCAAAGACTTGTAGCCGGGGAGGAAAAATTGTCCAAGAGGCTTGGCCCTCTGTTGGCAGCTCTTGATCTGGAGCCTGGGCTGCACATGGCTGCCTGCTATTTGCAAACGCTGTCCGTCTCGGGCGAGTTGGGTGCTTTCCGGCGTTCCCTTCTAGCCCCCTGAGTGCACTGATACACATGTCGCCTCCGCTGAAGAAAAGTCGTGATGCTTCAATCATCGTATTCACCCCAAGCACCCAAACCCGATGATCCACCCCAAGCACCCAAACCCCTCTCATTGCCATCCTTTGAAGCAATCAGGATCGATCTCCAGCCATGATACTTGTCAGAGAGGTGGTCGATCACATGCTGGGGCCCCGCGATTTCGGAGGAGCCGGTGTCGATGGCCACATGGCAGCCTCCGAAAGCATGGGGTTCTGGAAGGTTTGTCATCTGCAGCTTCATGACGTGACGGTGACGGATGGCTTCTCATGGCTTCGTCAACACACTCCACACTGTACAAGTGTTCTCAACTCGCGCATCCGTTCTTCTCATGCTACGTCACGCCTTTGCTTCGACTAGTCAAGGGGTGGTCAGGGCCAATCGCCGGCACCTCTGCAGATGTTCTGGGCCTCGCCGTCAAGGAAGATGTCCTGCGCAAATTCTGCAGGGAGTTCTGAAAGAGCCAGGCTGCCTCCAAGCATACTGCCCGCCCTACGCCCTACTCCCTGCCATGCCCGACTCCCGATGTCCTGAATCTCCACCTGCCAATAGCCAGCCTTGCCGCTGACCTTGAACCAATACATCTTGGAGCCCAGCTTGTCCTCCCAACAAAGTGTGTAAGGCACCGCCGCACTTCAGGCAAATCTTCGTGGACCGACGTTTGAATGCCGATGAGCCTGCTGGATGTCACCGAATGTGATTTCCGACTTTTCCTTGGTCGAATCATGGCTTCAGGCTGGGGAAGGACGGTGTGCAGCATGCGCTCAACAACATCCGAGAGCAACCGCCATTTACACCCAGCAGCATCCTTGGCACGAGCGAAGAAGAAGGCGAAGAGCGGGGCTTTGAGGCTCCTCCGATGTTCCTTGACCAATCGCCCTCCAAAGCTACCATCAGGGTCCGAGACCGAGGGGTTCAGGCTTGCACCACCCCAAAACCTGCCGAAGATCCACATCGCCTATAGAGAAGTCTTTGCAAGACCCACGGGCTGAAAAAGCTGAGGACAAGCCCAGGTTCGAGCCGCTGCATGATGCTGAACTCCCGTGCTTGCGCCTGGGCAGTCGCGGACAACAATGCCTTTTTTCGGCGAGGTCTCAGGCAACCTCTCGCAAGATTATCCAGCCGAATCAAGTCGAATCGAGTCTACGTCTGCATCATGGCAGGAGACACTGCTCCTCGGAAGGTTTGCCCAAAATAGCATCCAGGGAACAGGCGCTATTCTCTCGGAGCTACTGGAAATACTGGAACTTTGCAGACTGGAGTGCCGTCTTCGCATGTGTCTTTGGGCATTGCCCCCAAAAGTAGGGAACACTGTACAGGTTGTGGGTTGTGTGTGTGTGTTTGACAGGATGGGGGATGATGGGGGTTCTTTTCCCTGTGCCTGCTCGGGCACCTAGAATCACCTAAACTTTTAGACTTAGAAGCTCTATTGGGGAAGAAGTACACGGCATGGTGTGGCACCCCATTTGGGCGATCATCTTTTGCCATAGGCGGGAGGCCAGGGTATCCAATCCAAGGCCGAGGATGCCGTCGAAGGTGACCCACTCGAAGGGGTCGTTGCTCTCCTCCCGCTGTGCTTTTTCCGAGAGCTGCTGGACTGCTGGACGTCAGGGATGCTAGGAAGTTATGCTGGCACCTGCTGACGGATGGTCGTAGCTTCCACTAGATCCCACCTTAAGCGATAGACTGTGTAGTCTGCGTGGACACAAGTGTTCGGCAACTCCATGCAGAATACCACAACCTTAGTGAAGCTTTATTCTTCGCAGCTGGGGGAGCTGGCCTCGAAGGATGAGATGAACTTGGCCGGTGCGCACATCTTCTGTCCGAGGCAGACACGGTCTTTGAAGCCTCATCTGCGCACCCTGCTAAGTATGCTCCAGAAAACCGGAATATGCTTGAGACATCACGCATCAGCCGGATGGAAAGGACTGCATGCGGACGTAGGAATGAGAAGGGCAAGAGCCCTGGTCGAAAACCCTACACACTTTTGACCTATGCCCAGAAGCAGGTGACTGTCCCAGCCCTTTCGGTATGTGAGAAGCTGACCCTTTAGTGTATTTTGGGGAATGTAAGCACGCCAGAACCTGTAATTTGCTGTGCTTGGTAGAAAACACACAGAAAATACATGACACAAGAAATGCAACAAGAACACGGTACTTTTGCACTGCTTGCAGGACCGCTAGCCAAAAACATGCAAGGCATTCCTGGCGAGATTCCGATAGATCTCGAGACCTCTTCTGCGTTTCTCCTTCCTTCCCTCCCTCCTTCCTTCCTTCCTTCCTGCCATCCAGCAGGCAGGGTGCGCAAGGGGGCCGCCAAGCACGTACGCTCTCTCTGTCGCTCTGGTCCGACTTGCGCCTCGGCTTCGCCTCACTAATTGACTCGTACTTCGACCACCCCGACCAACGCGCCGAGGGTCAGTGTCCACGCACCTCGCCCGTGCCAAAGGTGACCACGAGGTCGTTGGGAACTTGATCCGCCGCGACCTGCAGCTTGGAAGGAAGCGGTTCAACTTACGGGTGGGATCGCAAGGTGAAAAGTACTCCTCCAGCGGCCTCGCCGCCATCGCAGTGATGCGCACGGCTCGTCGAACTGCGGGAGTCATCAAACCTCGCCACAAGAGAGCTGAGTTGAGTTGCGGTATCAGCAAGCAGGTCCCTATCGCGTTATCTGCGAAGACTGTCCAAACGAAGCCTTGGACAACGGCCTTCAACGTTAACCATTCCTTGCATCCCACCCTGCCTCCGGTGCTGCGTGCAAGCAGAAACGGTGCAATTGACTCCCGGGATGATGAGGTTTCCACTGCCTGTGTCGAAGATCACCTCGAAGTCCTGCAGGTTTGGGCTTGCCATGGCCTGCATTGGGCCCTTGTTTTCTCAAACCCCCCCACCACCCATAGATGTTGGGATACAACGACTCTGGCTCGGCCCTAATTATTTAGGCGAGCTCATCTGAAAAACTTGAAAGCACAAACACGGCCTGTGAAGGAAATAGGCTGCGAGGGCTGCTCCGAGGACTCTCAGAGGCCTAAGTAGTAAGCCTGGTGCCACCTGTCTCTTCCTCGACATGCTCTCCTCAACAACCAGCGTCTCAACTAACAGCGCTATGTGACCTTTGCCATTGCTTGCGAATGTTTGCGAGCATTGGCAAGGCCTCCTTAAATAGGAAAGCTCACCAGCGCATCCCTCTACAGGTCCTGCGGTGGATTGCCAACCGTCACCTGCGTGTGGCGAGACATGCAGACTTCAAAGGCTGCTTTCCAGAAAGGCGAACTCCGAGATTTCAAAGGGAAATGGTTTCGCCGATTCACCCGTGTCCTCAGTCAACATTTGTTTAAAAAGACAATTTATCGGAGAACATGGCCTTCCTTTGCTCGCCAAGAAGTTCTACAGAACCCTCCTCAATAAAGAAGAGCATGCGTTACAGCTTGCATCATTTGAAGACATAGCGCAGATTCTTTTCCCTCGATAACAGAGTTGGTTCTGTTTTTTTTTTTGGGGGGGGGGGGGTTTTGTGTGTGTGGCCACCTTGAGATTTAGGATACTCTTGCCTCTGCAGCTTCAAAGATTTGTTCACAGGGGGGCACGGCATCAGATTCCGGCCCGTGCCTAACAAAGCTACGGAATCTGATGGGGAAGCAAGGGCTGCTCACCCTTGTGTACCTGCTCGGACGATTTTGCAACGTAACATCCTGGGAGCAACGTCGATAAGACAGGATCTGTGCCGTTGATGAGACAGGATCGGCCCACAGGATCTGCCTGTGCTTTATCTTCTCAGGAGACGGTGGTTTTTCTGAGTGTGTGGGTGGGCGGGCGGGCAGGCGGGTGTGTTGGTACCTGGTTCTTGTGTTTTTGTGGCATTGCGGCTTTGTGGCTTTGTGGCTTTGTGGCTTTGTGGCTTCTCATGCCCACATGGTCTGCCTGCTCTTTCTCGTTGTTCGCGGGAGGGGGGCTCCAGCTCAGCTTTCAGAGGCATTGCCTTACCTACTCCAAAGAAAAAGGACGACCGAGCCATGGCTACCCCAGCTCCGAACCTGTCGCCGCTAGCAGCTAGCAGGCTCTGGCAGCATGGTCTCCCTTCCCCTCGGTCCTCCCCTCATCTCACCCGGTGGGTTCATTGAAGGTCGGGCCGAAACTTGTGCCAGCTTCGAAATGGCTTCAGGAGTACGGGGTACTTGGGGTTAGCCGTTGGCCATATTGTTTCCTGTCTTTGCTTCATAGCTCGTTTTATGGGGTCAGAGTTCAGCTTTCAGGGTTCAGGGTTTGGGTTTGTGGCTCGCCGCGCCTTGCCGGTATAAGCCATGTCTGTCTGCGTCAGATCAGTCGACCCGGCGCGCCTCTCACTGCCACGGCGCGTGAGGCAGTGCATGATTAACTTGTCTGGGCAGGAGAAGGGGGGGAGGACTTTTCGGCGTGCGACTACTCGTCCTGCAGACATCCTGGCCCACTGAAAGCAGCTTAGCGTGACAGCAAAGGCAGGGCATGGAATCGCAAGGATACATTGGCTCACTGTGCCTCTTGAGGCCACCTCGGCGCTTTTTCAGTTCGATGGCAACCTGGGCGGCCCGCAAGGCGGACTCACCGTATCAGACGGAGGGCTCACACCGCCTCATTCATGTTACTTATGTCGGAGCTACTGATAACTACTTGTAGGAGCGACCACTTGCTGCCATGGATCCGAGCTCCGGGTGTCTGTGTCCGTCAGAATCCTTGCCCAGCAGGGCCTAGAATCCTAGAAGCCTCCCAAACCTCTCCAAGGCAAACACCGCTGCGACAGTCACGCCAGCAAACGCCCCAAACAGATGGAATTTTCCAAGAGCGCGGGTCTCAGGCGAACAAAACGGTTTAAGAAGTCGATCCAGACATCAGCAAAATAGCAGTTTTGCTGTAGATGGCCAGCCGACCCAAGATTCCGTCACTGCAGCACACCCAGACATCAACGAGAAAACGCTTTGGGCCGTCCGGAAATCGTGCCTGGGCCTTTTGGCCTGAAACCCTGAAGCACTCTTTTGCCTGAATCCAGCTGACTGCCGGGAGGCGCAAGAAGGCACGGAAGGCCAGCGAGGAGGAGGAGGAGGAGGCCACGCATATTTGGGAGTTTCCTCGGATCACTCCGAGGGAGCTTCGTCCAGCGCGGTGTTTGGCTTTTGGGGGACTCACAGCTGGACATCCACCTGAGCGCTCCAAACCCCGCATGCCTTTCATGTCTGCAACCCCAAAACTCGCACGGGCAAAACTTTGTAAGGCATGCCCAGGCACGGTACCGGAAGCGTAGAAGGCTAGTATAGGGTAGTAGATCTTTGGGGAGGCCGAGCGTCCCACATGTAAAGCGTGGCTTGAGCCCCAGTGCCAGAGCACATCTGGATAAGATGCGAAACTTGCAGAAGACCGACGATGCTACTGCATTACACTGCATTCTTCACTCACTTGGAATTTGAACAGCTGCCAGCATCGAGGCTTGTGCCAGGCTATGATGTCGCGCGTCCTCCGTGCAGCTGTGGATGAAACCAACGACAAGAGAGCCTGAGCGCAACGTCTTTCTGCAGAATGCCAGCAGTGCCAAGAATTCCCAGCGTGAACAGCGTTTTAGACTGTGACGGCCTGCTGTTTCGGTGCTTCAGGCTTCTACGTCCAATATGCGCGCACCGCAACTGCCATCATGCCGAAGGCCTGTGTGACCCTGTACCCCTCCACGCAACATGGGAGCTGAGGTCGTCTCAAAAGGCGTGGTAGCATTGCTGAAAGAAGTGGGGTCTCTCCTGGGCAAGCACTAACCTGCACACCCTTTGCGAACTGCCACTGCAGCCTCTTCGTGGCGTGCATCTTCGTGGCGTGCATGTCAACGTAAACGTTAGACACCACAAAAACAACGAAACAAACTAGAAGCAACTGCAGATAGTGCTGGTGAAGGCGCTTAACTCCTGACGGACCTGGCTCAGAATCCTAAGCAAACCTTTCATTGTAGCGACCAACCTTCTCAAGTCCAATGTACGTAGTGATAGGCAACGGAGAAAGCAGCTCTCAACTCGAGTCCGATGAGGGCCAAGCCAGCTAATGCCAGACTCAAGGGCCTGGCGCCAGACCACATGATGCGCAGAATTGGATTGCGTCCCCTAGCTCACGCACATGCTCCGGACCTAGCAGCAGCTAGCAGTCTAGAGTCCAGAACCTATCCTGCATATCCTCCCCACGCCATCCGCAAGCAGCGACGGGCTGACCGAAAACAGGGACAGTCTGGGAGGGTGAAGATCTGGAGACAGCTCTTGATCCCGCTGCCTGAGCAGACGGAAGAAGACCTGGGGGCCCTCGTCGCAGCCATGGATGACTTAATGACACTCAATAGATACTGATAGGGTTGAGAAGGGACCAGACCTTTGAAGCAATATGACTCGCAGTGACTCGCATCTGGTGGCAAGCACTGCTGGGCCCCCCAGCAGTGTGAGCGACTTCTGCAGCAGCGAGAACCTCAGAGACCAAGATCATGGTTGCCTGACAAGCATCCAAGCCTTCAAGGACCATTTTCCTGAAAAAACTTAGCCCCTCAGTAGCACGCTCCAATGCAGCGTCGGCATCTGCCAGGTCCGGAACCTGTCATCTCTTACCCCTGTCCCTCCACCCAGCTTCGGCTGCTTCGCAGACCTGCCCACTCCCATTAGGTCGTCTGGTCAGGCACTAAGAGCTTGTTCACAGTTCTTATGGCGTTCGTGGAGTGTTGCGGCAGCTCCGCATGTATACGAATACACAGCCGGGCACGTCCTCCATCGGGTCCAGGACCGCGCCATCACAGCCGCTGAACTGGGCCTCTCGTGTGCCACGTGTGCTCTGTGAGTCGCAAGCATGCCACCGGCTCCTGACCTGGACCTTCCCCGTCACACTCCAGGGAAAACTCCGAAACCTCAACCCTCAGCTCATAAATAGCAAAGCTGTGTCAGTTCCAGCTGAGTGGACGACCACTGAAGAAATGAAACATAAGGATACCTCAGCACTCGCAGTGTTCCTCTCGCTGCCTGGAAAACTTGCCCCCCCAAACAAATCTAGTGGCACCCATCTATACTTTCCCACCGGACCGATTTGCTCTGGTGCTGCGGGCGATTAACAAAGATGCCACCGAATTTCCTTTGGCGGTGGCGTTTACAGTTGCTTTGCCTTTACCCTTCCCGTGTTGCTCAGAAGACCAGAAACAAAAAAGTAAAGGTCACGAAGCGATGGTTTCCACTCCGTGCTCAGTTTTCGATGGCATTGTTGAGGCCTTCTGTCACTCCTTCCTTTCTTGTTTCGGTACCGCGAGAACGGTTCTTGGACTCAAGCCTTATCTGAACTCGATGTTGCTGCATGCTGCCACCCCTTTGCCTCGCTGCACGACATAAGCAGGGGCTCTCCAGATGTCTCATGATGTCTAGATGACCCGTACTGCAGCGCGGATGGACAGGGAAAACCTCCGCAGGTCCCTCAGCGCAGCAGCCACGGGGGACGCCGAGACTGAAATGGGACGCAAAACCAACCTCAAGGGGGCACGTCGACCTTGAGTGGGAGCAGTGCGAGCGCGGGCCGTCAGAAGAAGGATCATTAGCCGGCTACCATAAATCCAATCGCCGATGGATCCTAGTGACTATGTTGGACTGGCATGGCACTCTTTCAGTGTCTTACCCTTGGTCGATCAGGAGCCTCGAACTCACGGCTTAACGCTTTCTTCGTCTCAGTTCTTTCTTTCTGTGCTGGTACAAACCACCTGGCGGTGCCCTCACACTGTGGCCGCACTGTGGCCCGCGCGAGCACACCGGGGATCCATCGGCTCATCTTCCGTCCTCGCAAGTCGGAGCAGACTCGAGCTTTGTGGCTCAGCTTCACACCTTCGCATGCACATGCACCCTCTTCTCACCCTCTTCTCTCCCACCGCGCTGAAACAAGGACGAGGCGAATGAAGTGGGGCTTCTGTATCGAAGGACAGTCACCATTTGCTGGACCTTAGAGATGGCACTTTCAACCCTTGGACGGCTCCAAGCCAGTACGGATCTCTGGGTCGCCGGCCGTTGCCAACAAACAGCGAGCTGAGGGAGGAAAACAGCCAAAAAAGAGCCAGATGACAACGGCAGCGATGGGAACGTATCGGTGCTGTGATGCAGCAAATTGTGGCAGATGACTGGGAAATGACCTGATCGTGCTAAACACTGTTGCCACGGCCACAGGTTCGCAGGCTCGCAGGTCAGTGAAACGCGTGTTGTAATGGTACTCGTGCCATCACCCCATCCAACAATTCGTTGGACAAGCCAGCTCGAGATCAGTCTGGAAGGATTGAAAGGTATCCAGGAGTGCGGCTAAGCCGCATTAAGCCGCACTACGCTTTTTGCCTGCTTCCTGCATGAGTCATGGAGATCCTTGCTTTTACGACAAACGTGCTTCGGGCAGCTGACCCAGTATCCTATGTTTCCCGTTTTCCAGTTTAGTTTCAGCACAGGGTACAGACTGCGTGAGGCCTCCAAGAACTCACGCTGTACTAAATGCCGGAGGTCCAAAGGCGTGCGTGAGGTGCATGAAGCCCTATTCAGCTCCTTCTTTGGACCCAGCTGGCTCCGCAGATGCAAATCTGATAGGGGTGGCTACGTCCAGCTTCGGCACCAGCTGGGCCAGGAGGGCGAAACTTTGAGGGCGGAGGGCACAGTCTATCGGAGACCGCACTATGTCGGCCGGACTTCGGCCGGATGTCGGCCATTCTGCCAAAAAAAATGCAGACGCTGCTCCCGGATCAGCTTGGCTGGTAAGGAGTTAAACAGTGCCAGCAAACGGTCCCACATACTAAAACCTGGTAGCTGGCAGTCCACCTTTCACCGCTCCGATTTTGAAGCAGTCGTGAACCATTTTTCTGATTGCTAGCTTTCGACAAGATGGCCACACACATCAGCCATGGCTTCTCGCAGCACCGCGACGGTTTCACCTTGAGCGAACGGGCATGCTTTTCTTGCCACCGTCCTGCGGAGATGGAATCTAGCTCTAGAAGGAAAGGCGAGAAGGCAATGGCACAACTCGAGCTATGTACCTGTTAGCCAGTCGAAAAACCTGCTGCACCTCCCGCAGTGCTGAGAAGTCTTTGCTTGAACAAATTACACGTCACGCCCTTCAAGTCCGACGACAATGTGGCAGATCTGAGGTTGTAGCGGTGGCCATACTTCTGAGCACACCTGAAGGGCGAACATCCGAAACTCAGAGATGATAACAACCGGAGATTTCCATTGACATGGAAATCTTTGTTTGGGAAACATGCAACCAAAGGCGTCCAATTACTAGTTGAACCTGCAATGCTCGGGATGAAACTGTCGAGTTGATGCACTTTTTGTGTGGTAGCAGGTAAAAGTGGCCACATACTTTGGCCAACATTCGGACCAAGTACACATCCCTGAAAAACGACAGCTAGTAGCTAGTGTAAGGGCATTTTGTTTTGCTACCTTTTCCTTTGTGCTTGGTCCTTGTTCTTTCGGGCGAAGGGGGGTGGCCTGTATAGGACAAAGTTTTGAGTAGAACCTCCATTTCGCCTGTATTGTTTCTTTGGCATCCTATACTACATCCATTTTTGCACTGATCAGGGAAACCTAAATCCTTTATACCATACTTTAAACGGACAACCGATATTTCCTCCATGTAAGAAAAAGTATTTCCGCTGTATGTGCACCCCACACCTCCGTGGCCTCTGTACAGAGGAGATCTCTCAGTTTCCCCTATGGGTTTTTGAAAAGACTCCATCTCCTCGACGTTGTAAAAGAAGCGGAAGCCTGTACTTCCTCTACGGGTATGATGGACGCGGAAAACTCACATGATGCGTTTGGAAGGACTTATGTGGGCTATGAAGGACTGTCCATTCGGAAAAAGCCCGGGGGGACTTTTGGAGGGCTCGGGGAGAAGGGGGCCCAGGCCCCGTTCGAAATCGCAACTCGTATCATAGGTTGTTTTCGAAGGAAGGTCAACTGATTACACGGCATTCTTTCAGGCAAGTTGACACGGCTTGGGGGGGTCAAGCCCCCCCCTAGACTTGAAACACACTCGCTTGGAAAGGACTCTCATGTCTTTTTTTCACGCGGCCCCTCTTGTCCAGGGGAAGAAGTTTGCAAACACAATGCCCGCACAACGAAAGGATTCGAATGCTTTTCGAAGGAGTGATGGGTTTAGAAAGGACTCATAGGGCCTTTGAAGGAATATCACTTGATGGGCACGACATTCTTTGAAGAAAGTTCAAAAAAAAAACACCACCTTTCGCAAAACGACATGGGGATTCGTATCTCAAAAGAAGCCCTAGGAAGGAAGCTCGTTGTGGGAAACAGTCTAGTCCAAGACTGTTGCATGTCGTATACCCTTCGTACTTACGACCCTAACCTACACCGGCTGACACCTGTAAGACCACATGGCCCTAATTGCTACTTACTCACAATGTCTGTTGCACTGAAGCCCCGAACTGGAGGGCAGTGCGGCCGGCTGGAGTCTTGACCTGCCCCAGGAGCACTTAAGGCTTAAGGTCTGGGATGCTATGGCTATGGGTATTTTGGGTACATGGTGCAACATCCAAGAGAAGGGTTGGGGCATGAATGCTGGCGCGCATCTGGGCGTTGGCTTGCAAGAGTTTAAGTGTTCATGAATGTTCCCCGCATCAACTCGTGTCTTCAGGTGAACATTTGTTATCATGGAAGACCCAGGCCCAGATACAGAAACACCCCGAAGCCTTGACCCATTCCAACTGCAGAGGCCGGAACTCTGCAACTTCCAAAATTTCCTCTGATTGCTTAGCCTCGAGAAGTTCCGGCCGCACCAGAAGCTTCACGATGCCCGCGTGCCCGTTCCTCGGCATCCACAACATTGTATGTCGTATTATGTCGTTCACCGGCTGCGAGACTTTTGAAAGTTGGCCAGAAAACTGAGAAAAGCGGGTGCGCGCTTGCAAAGTTCTAAGTAGCTGAAGAACAACTACTCCTGCTGAACACAAGTGAGCTTTGATGTTGTCACTTCCAACGTATATAAAACGCCTCTTGCTAGCACAGAGCCTAACCGCCTTTTTGGTGTTCATCCAGAACCCTGTGAGATGCTGCCCCCTTCCAAAAAGCTACATCATTCAAAGCAAAGCCAACTGAGGGCCACCACCGCACAGCCAGCAGAAAGCTGCACCACCCACCTCAAAATACAGGGCAGTGAGTCAAACAGCTGCTTCCTCTGCAGGCCCAGAGCTATGCTAGTAGCATCCAGATGCAAGTTGACGAGGGTGCGCATGGCTGCAACAGGAGTAAGAGTTCCCACTACCAGCACGCATCGGTATAGTTGGGACCCATCACGAAGAGAGGCCACGTTTTTCGCCGCCGCGACGAGCGGGGCAGGATCTGCATGAGCTGGCTCATCGCAGTAGCACCAAGAACTCTGTACACAGACAACTTTGCTGACAAACCTCTATCGCAAAACATTCGTAATCACAACCAGCTTCTCCTCGGGAACCTGTGGACATCCACAGAGTGTCACCAAGGATCATGCCTTGCCAGCTTCGCACTCAACAGCCTGGGAAGAGGGGCGCTAGTTCGCACCCGAAAATGCGAGACAATGTTCACAGGCGTTCACAGGCGTTCACAGGCGTCCACAGCTTACATGTACATCACATGTACATCATGCCGGACTCGCGGCCCTTGTTCTGGACGATCTGCTCCGTCATCATGGACTTCCAGCCGTCCTTGTACGTCTCGGCCACTTGCTCTTTGAGGTGGACGATGGCCTTGGCAGGGTCCAGGCCCTTGGGGCAGCAGTTGGTGCAGTTCATGATGCCATGGCAGCGGTACAGCTTCATGGTGTCGTTGACCCAGGCCAAGCGCTCCTCGGTGAACTGATCGCGTGAGTCTGCGATCCAGCGATAGGCCTGCATCAACACGGCCGGGCCCAGGTAGTATTCGGGATTCCACCAGTAAGATGGGCACGACGTCATACAGCATGCGCAAAGAATGCATTCATACATGCCATCGAGCTTTGCTCGGTCCTCACGGCTCTGGAAGTACTCCTTCTCTCCCTTCGCTTTTGTATCCTTTCGCTTGAGCCATGGTTCGATTGACTTGTACTGGTTGTAGAAGTTCGTGAGGTCCGGCACCAAGTCCTTCACCACATACGTGTGGGGCAAGGGCTGGATCTCAATGGCCTGCGCGCTCGGCTCGATGTACAGGAGACACGCCAAGCCGTTCTTGCCGTTGATGTTCATGGCGCACGATCCGCAAATGCCTTCACGGCAAGATCTGCGAAAGGTCAGCGTGGCATCGACCTCATCCTTGATCTTGACCAACGCATCCAAGATCATGGGGCCGCAGGCCTTCAAATCGATCGTGTAGTTTTGCAGAAACGGCTTGGCCTGCTTGTCCGGGTCGTAACGGTAAATTGCAAACGACTGCGGCTGCGCAATGGCCGAGAACTGTCGCAGCGGGCCCCGCGAGGCATGGCCCAAGGCGCGGGGAGCAAGGGACCGCAGCGACGCAGCAAGGGGCATCGTCGGCTGTACAGGTGCGAGAAAACCAAGTCTACAAACGCTGTGCTGGTTTGCCCTTTGCGCGGGAGCATGCGGCAATGCAAAGCGAGTATCGTGTGCCAAGCCTACTCACTCAACGTTCGGTGGCTCCACGTTGCTCGGTTACATGCATCACCTGGGCAACCTCGTGCAGTTGCCTGGGGCTGTGACTGGGAAGTCTCCGCAAGCAGTCCGCGCCGTTTGCTAAGAGCACGCGGACCTGGAAAAATCACGGGCTTCTGGCCAGAGGAAGCATCCGAACTCGGCCTGCGCAGTCCTGGAACCTTCATGCCGTTGTCAAGCTCCTTCGGTGCGCTGGGTCCCGAACCACGGCCTCCCGACCGACCCTCGCCGCAACCATCAAAGCGGTGACGCCACCCTCCATGGCCTGGGAAGAGCGTGGACTGTCCAACAAACTCTGAAGACACTCCTTTCAAGAATTTTCGTCAAGGGCCAGGCGGCATCCACGTCGGCACCGTACTCCAGCAGCGCCTCCACTGTGGGGACAGTCTAATCAATCGCGGCGGACGCTTCCAAATCCGGAACAGCCGTCAGAAAACAGTGTTTTAGCTGTCAGAAACAACTATCGTCAGACCATCACAGCAAAGGGGGTTGGCGGCGCCTCCCCCCATTTTCGATAGTCTTAGCACAGAAAAGTTTGGTACGTTTGGTTTCAGCTGTGAAGTCAACGTGCTCGGGTTGTGACAAGAAATGGCTTCACGAAGGTCTTGCTTGTGAAGCCTTGGGCTGGGCTGTCGGTTTTGGGCGGAGGCGGGGTGCAGTCCCTCCCCCTTGAGGCTTGTGACCTGAGTGCTCTATGTGATTCAAACTCGTTGTTGAAGAAAAGGGCAATGTTTAACAGCGTGAAGTGCATTGCTTAAGCCTTTTGGCTGGGCTGCTGGTTTCAGGCAAAGGCGGATGTACCTGGCCCCTTCAAAGATATGGCTTGGCCTTGGCTTTGTTATGGGGCGACGGGGCGGGGGGAATTTGCAGCCGTGACAGACCAGGCATTTTTTCGGGCCAATGCAAATAAGCCGGCCTTAAAAGCTTTGGCTTCTTGCCCGCCACACCCACCTGACTCGGCACCTCTTCTTTGTTGAAAGTAATATGGTCAGAGCCGGCACGGCTATGAAGACGGCGGTTGCGTGCGTACCTTCTGATTCCGCAACCCTTCTGACGCCTCTCACGGGTCCTGCAGTTTGCGGCAGCAGGGCAGTTAGCAGCTAGCAGCAGAGCTGGGTGTGGGGAAAACAATGGACATGTATATAAAGGTCCTCTGAAGCGAAAACAACTGTGTTTATCCCTTTGCAGAAGACATCGACACCCGTGAAAGGACATCTCAAAACAGTCAACATGCAAACAACAAGGGTTGGTGGATGCTGACTTGAACCATCCTAAGGGCTCTTGCAGTGTCGACGCATGTAATGTTGACCTCATGTTTTGAATCCGTTTGGAATCCCCCCCCCCCCCGCCAGAATTGCACAATTCAATTTCCCTTAGAAACCCCCGCAATAATGGCACAAACCAATTGCCATTGAGAACCCCCCCGTGAAAATCCGCAATCCTTCCTGGCCGAGACGCCGGCAAAGCAACTACTGCCCGCCTCAGCCACAGCCGCTGCTGCGGAGGGATCTGTCGGATTCGAATCAACTCCTCGACGGCTGCAAAGCTCTAAGGACTACTGCTGCTGCGAGAGCGCACAAGAAAATTTACGCACTGCCTGTGCTCAAGCAAGCCTGTACAGAATGCTGATCCGCCACATGGCATCTGCAAGTTACACGAGGAGCCAACCACGAATCACCCCAAGCATCTCGACAGCCTTCCACCAGACCAGCGCCACCAGCCAAGTGCAGGGCGGTGATGCCGTGCTCAGCGACAGCCTAGAGGCTCAGAATTGTCTCGCGATCTATCTCCTACCGCATTTCGTGGTGACATGGGCATTGGCGACGCGAAAGGAACATGGGATGGGCAGGTGTCTTCGAGTGCCGCCAATGTTGGCCGACCCCACCACCACCACCAACAACACCACAATGCTCGTATGACTGTTTGGGAAGTATTCAACCAAAAGGAGGGCGATCGCTGTCCTACATCTGAACACTCTCAAGCTGCACAAACCACAGGATTACAAATTACAACACCACTCTCCACCACCAGCGCACACAGGATCAAGTATGTGCAACCTGCTAACCCTGAACCACTGCCATTGGCCCCAACCCCCCAGGCAAGACTCCCAACGAATCTGACTGTCCCAAGGTCGATGCAGCCACTGGTGCCTTCTGCTGTAAGAGCAAGCGCACGATACCAACAGATCCCGCCTGGAAATTCAGATGGTGACGAAGAAATGCCAAACGTGGTGCTTCAGGGTACATGCACATTCTTTAGCATATGAACCAGTGACAACAATGCGGCAGACTTGACATTTGCTTTTCCTCCACAACTCGTCTTCTTAGCAACCACGTATTCGCACAGCCGTTCATACTGCCATTCAATGAGCACTAGCACGATTCCTATTCTTAACATCAACATCTCTGCAAAGCATTTTGGTAACCCTGGTAATCTAGTAGTTGCTCCGACATTCACCTTAGCCCCAGCCCAGCCTCTGCTGCGACATGCAGTGGCGAGAGGAGGACCTCCAAGAGCAGTCCGTCCAACGCACAATTTTATCAGCACATCCCACATGTAGCCAGGCCTGCGTATTTGCCGGGGCTGCCGGTGGCCTTAGCGCGAGCAAAGTCCAGTACTGCACCAAAACAGTGCTACTGCTGCTTGACAAACCCAGGCAAGCGGAATACCCCCAGAAGGGTGGGCAACGCATACCGGCACTCCCATGTAAGCTCGACGCAAGAACTGACGCTCCCGGCACTAGAATCACTAGAAGCCGGACTGCACAACAAATGAAGTCCCGTCCCACCAAGCCCGGCTGAGTCCCGAGGCAGCTCCGCAGCGAGTAACGCCTGCACGTTCGCTTCGTCACGGCTCTGGACCGCGAGGTGCAGAGGCGCCCAGCCCTGCCGGCCGGTTTGTTTCATGCCTTGTTCTTTGTCTCTTCTTGGAGTGATGCATGCCACGTACACGTGATTGCCATGATTGCGTGGTGAACTCCCTCTTGGGTCATCTGATGCAAAATGATCGAGAATGAAACACGGCCTCCTCCGTCAACACGTTGGCATCGGCACGTGCACGTAAGAGTTGCTGAATCATCTCGGCAATTTGAAAGAAGCTTGGTGATGGCGGAGAGGCTCACCGTTCTTAAAATCGCAAGACAGGGTGGCTTGCAAAGAAACCACTGGACAGAAGGATACTCACGGACAACTCACAGACTCACGGCTTCTCTCGACCAAAACCCAATGCAAAGAGATGATGCCAATCATGCCAATAATGCCAATACAAATGCTGAGGCTCCTGAGGCATGCACCACACAGTTGCCAGGAACATGACAGGCCAGGTGCAAGACAGTCCATCCACCCGGCCTGGGTTGCGCGCACTCGGAGACAACCCGACAGCCACGTGGATCCGTGCATGGCTACAAGCCAGGAGAGGCACTTCGTTGCTCGGTCCTTTGTTCTGACACGGCTCGGGCAAGAGACAGCCTCATCGTCATCAACTACACGGAAGCAAAGCCGGGCCAACGTGCATTGCGGCTCGGCAGCACCTAGCTGGATTCTGGGAACGCGATCGTCCCCCCACGTCATGGGGATGTTTCGTCTCGATCTTGCGCCACTTCGCTGGGGAGGGGCGGTCGGCCATCGTAGGCAGATTCGGGGATTGCCACCAAGAGCCGGAGGATGACTGCATTCACCAAGAGGCCGAAGGCAAACGTGATCTGTGGGCAAGGATGACCCCAGAAGATATCTCGCAGTGAGGCCAAGAACACTGCGGAGAATATTGGCGGGCCCGTTAATGCGCCTACCTGCGTCGCCATCGAGAAAATCCCCATTACTGCACCCAAAGGCAGACCAGAGCTTACTGCCACGTTGGCGTTCAAAGTAGACACGTACACTCCGATCAAGGCGCCCAAAGCCCCCACAAGCGTAGCTGGATACATGGCTACGACCGTGCTAGCGACCATGTACAGCACATGGGACACCATGCCCAGGAGACAACACATGACCATCTGAAACTTCACGCTGAGGACGCCCCGAAACATGCGTAGCAGAACTGTGTTCGCGAAGAGCGCCGCAAAGACGCCGCACAGGCGCAGGCCTGCACGCTGCGGTGCCGTCACACCCAACTGATTCTTTGTGTACTGCGTTGTGAACTCAGACTCCCCCAAAGACATGAAGGAGCCCAGCACTGAAATTGTCAAGGCCGTCTTTGTCGTGGGGTCTTCCACAAGGTGGCACAGGCTCTGGTACCAAGAGGCCTCATGTGCCGAGGATTGTGGGGAGTCATCTGACAAGGCTCGCGGGCCAGTTGGCCCAGCCTCCGGCTTGGACTCTGGCAGGAAAAGTGCCGCCACAAGCAGAGCAGACATCTTGCAAGTGGCACTCATGTTCAGAGCAGTGGCTGTCAGATTCTCTTCGTTTGCGCTTGCTGCAGTGAACTCCACCAACAGCGGAGCGACAAAGCCGTAGAGGACTTGCACTGCCGCGAGGAGACCGTAGGCCGAGGCGCGATTGCGCTCGGTCGTCATGTCCAAGACCCACATGCCCAGGACCACCTGTGCTGGGACGAAGGCAGGAACCAAAGAAGTCACGTAGAACCAGTAGAACTTCCAGCGGAAGTAGTAGGTTCCCCAACTCGCCAGGGTCGAAAACTCGCTGGCGAAGAGGCAAAGAAGGAGCATCGGACGGCGGCCAAATCGGTCACAAAGAACCCCAGCGATGGGACTGAAGATTGCTGTTAAGACCCCACCGAGGATCCCCACGGTGACCCCCATCGCCGTGGTGGCAGTGATGGCCTCATCACAAGCCTCGGACTGGGTGGTGCAGACATCGCTGCCTGCGTAGCTCATCACCGCCATGTCTGGCAGGACCAATCCAGACAATGCGGTGCCTGCCCCTTCCAAGAAGACGGGCACGAACAAAGCCATCCACGCGGCATTGTCCCAAGGCCGTTTCACCACTTTGGACGAGGCTGCACCATAAGATCTGGGCTCAGGGCTGGCCTCTCGCAGGTGGCGCTCTTCATCTTCTTCAGCCATTCAACTAAGACAGCTTATCAAGGAAGCTTGCCAGCCCCTGTGGCCGGCACAAGCAAACATGGAGATAGTTCGATCCCAGGTAATCAACTTTGAGCCGCAGCCATTTCATGGCATGATGCATCAGGTGCATTATCTCACCTACTACACACTTGTACACACTGTCACATCTGGCACAATGGCGTGCCGACCCGTGCCGGTCCAGAGCTCGGGGCAGCGTTGGCGACAAAGCTGCACCAAACTGAAGGAGGACCTCGGCCACCTCCACTTGGCGTGCCTCCACAGCCACCTGGCGCATTCGGTTTGAGCTCCCAATCTCGGATACGGACGTTTACAGCCGGAAAGGCCAAAAATTTCGGGCTTTTGGGGGAAACTCTGGCCCAGTTCAGCCTCCAAGCCCCCACTCAAAAATGTTGAAGCCTGTGCCTAGGGCACTCTATCTATATATGTTTGTTTCATAAACTCTTTCATTCTTTCATTCTTTCATTCTTTCATTCTTTCATTCTTTCATTCTTTCATTCTTTCATTCTTTCATTCTTTCATTCTTTCATTCTTTCATTCTTTCATTCTTTCATTCTTTCATTCTTTCATTCTTTCATTCTTTCATTCTTGCATTCGTTCATTCCTTCATTCCTTCATTCCTTCATTCGTTCATTCTTTCATTCTTTCATTCTTTCATTCTTTCATTCTTTCATTCTTTCTTTCATTCATTCTTTCTTTCATTCATTCTTTCTTTCTTTCTTTCTTTCATTCTTTCATTCTTTCATTCTTTCATTCTTTCATTCTTTCATTCTTTCATTCTTTCATTCTTTCATTCTTTCATTCTTTCATTCTTTCATTCTTTCATTCTTTCATTCTTCCATTCTTTCATTCTTTCATTCTTTCATTCTTTCATTCTTTCATTCTTTCATTCAGTCATTCATTTTCATGTTCATTTCATTTCCTGTTATTTTAATTTCATTCATTCGTTCATTCATTCCATCCATTCATTCATTCATTCATGCAGTCAGTCATTCAGTCATTGAGTCATTCGGTCAGTCAGTCATTCATTTCATTTCATTTCATGTCATGTCATTCAGTTCATTTCATTTCATTTCCATTTCATTTCATTTCATTTTAATTTCATTCATTCGTTCAGTCATTCATTTTCATTTATTTTCATTCATTCATTCATTCGTTCGTTCATTCATTCATTCAATCATTCATTCATTCAGTCATTCATTCATTTCATCCATTTCATTCAATTCATTCATTCATTCATTCATTCAGTCATTCATTCATTTCATCCATTTCATTCAATTCATTCATTCATTCAGTCAGTCATTCATTCATTCATTCATTCAGTCATTCAGTCATTCAGTCATTCAGTCATTCAGTCATTCAGTCATTCAGTCATTCAGTCATTCAGTCATTCAGTCATGTATATATATATATATGTACATATATATAGATATATATGCATGTATGCAATGCTGTGATAGGATAGGATATGGGATAGGATCTGATAGGATAGGAGATAAAATTATATATACACACACACATAAAACATGTTCTCCTGAAGGCGCCACCATGAGCGGTGTGCGGCCGCGGCGGCTCGGCAGATTCACGGAGGCGCCGCAGTCCAACAGCTGCCTCCCAGGCTTGCAGGATGCTTGGAGAAGGCCTTTTGAGAGGGACCCGGCGCAAACGGACGAAACGTACGAAAACGGGGTTGAAAGCAAACTTTGCGCAAAAAGAAATGCAGAAGGCCCAGCCTCACAGCTGCCACATGCCCGGCCTGCCAGTGCTCATGCGCGCACCACATGATCGCGGCAGTTTGACTTGAGCACAAGTGCTGCCCTCAAGCATCTGGTTGGCCTTCGCTGCAAGGAGCAGGGGTGTCCACCCGGTGGCAGTCGGGGCATCCACAGCTTTCAAGGCACCTGCTGGACACTTAAAACAGACTGACATGACGCAACGTGCTCTTGGTATGCTATCCCTGCCGTGAAGGGACTGTAGCAATTGCCTATAGTCACGGCCCGTGGGCGCCGTCCGAACAGCATCGCCCAAAACAATTGGCTTCAAACCGGTTGGGCGTGGTGCCTTGTGGGTTGGAGAGCTCGAGTAGCAGCTGGCAACCTCAGCATGTTGCAAAATGCTGCAAATGGAGCTTCATGGGGTAGAGAAAAATCACCGCGCAGCTTTGACAGTTGATGTAGCTGGCGAGCAAACTCGCCCCCCCCACCTGCCCCGCCCCCGCATCCAAAAACAAATCTAAAACCCTGAGCCCGCAGCAGTCACCATGCCCACCGCGTGCCGCCAGTGCGAGAGGTGTGAAACCTCCACCTCTGCTGATAGTCAGCTGCGACACAGGCAGTGCTACCGCACGCGGCGCATTCCATGATGCACGTCAGCTGCAAATGCCGCAAGAACTTGAACATTTTGTGCATTCCACCCACTCGCACAGCAGCTGCTCCTCCACGAACATTGTAACAGCACGCAGACTTGTACTATTGAAGCCCCCCAAGGCTCCCGCGCAACTCTGTAGTCGGATTGGCACGCGCATCCACCAGCAGCTGGATGCACTCGTAAAAGCCCTGCCGAGATTGCGGCTCTTAGCTGTCGCAAAACGCAAGCTGCCGTTCTCTAAACTGCCAGAAACACAAAACTTGTTACAATTTTGCACACATGAGCAGGCGCTGAGCAGGCGCTGCAACCCTTCCGAATCTCAGAAAAAGTCTCCCGAATAACCAGCATCTGACAGGCAAGGCCTGTTGGGCGGCCAGGTGCACAGAACGGCAACCACCGTCATCGTTTGCCACTGCCAGCTCCTCTTACAGCAAGAAAAAACACTCACCACTTCACAGCCACCACACAACCAAATTCAAAACACTTCGGACTAGCGCAGTGAGCACAGTGAGCTCAGCCTAAGACAGGTTCACATAAAACGCACGCAACACGCCCGTGCACGGATCACGCTGAGCTCTCCGGGTCTGCGCGGGCGTCCAACAGGAGCCGCAGCACCTCCAAGTGTTGGAGCTGCACCTTTGACAGCAAAGGCGATTCAGCTCCGAGCAGTTCTATCTGGCACTGCATCCCAAGACAACTAAGACACGTGGAGGACGTTAGCCTTGAAGATCGAGCCTCCATGTTTAAACCTTTCTGGCATCCGTTTGGCTCTTGAACTCTGGTTTCCTGAACTTCGCGGCTTTCGAGCCTTGACGAAACGCAGCTATCTGCTGCCTTCGCTTGTGAACTTCTGCTTTAGACTCAGACCGCAGATGTGTGCTGTCAGATGTAGTCAACGCTTCTTTGCCCAGCAATGCGCTATGTGAAGGCGTGACTTTGGGACCTGATGCTCTGGGGCGGAACCCGCATTTGTCACGCCCACTTCGGGCACGCAGCTAGTCAACTCCTCCATGCAGTGATTTCTCAGGATCATCGCTCACCAAGTCGCCATGTGCATCAATCTTATCTTGTCTACGTGCCTGAACTCTCCAAGCATCTCCTTTTCTGCTTCGGTCTTGGCGAGGACACTGCCGATCTTCTAAGCCCGATGCACCCAACAAACTGCAGCGCCTTCTGTTCGAACACCTGCTCGAAGTCGTAGAGTCCCGCCATTGCCGTAGCATCTCTTATGCAGGTAGTCGCACGTAGTCGGTGACAAATGCTCCTTGGCGCCGTTCAATCACTGAGCTCTTCCAAGAGCAACATCATCATATCATCCTGCTTCCAGTGCTTCCGCCAGGTGATTCTTCAGCCCGCTGTGTCATGGCTAGTGGAGACTGGTGGGACAGGATGTTGGTGCGAGCCTCCCTTGTTCTTGCCGTGGCCCGACTTCCAGTCAGGATCGTCCTCATGCTCCAGAGGGGCAACTAGAGGGGCTCGACGTCGTAGCGGATGCCGCCCCTCCTCCACAAACAGGTATCTCTCGGCTAGTACTCGTAGGGAAGTGCTCGCGGTGCATCTTGTCTTAGCCGGTGCTCCTTGGCATGGAGATGGTACGCCACTCTTTTGGCCAGGTCCTTGGCCCATGTGAATAAGTTCCAAGCAGTTCGTGAAGCCGGCTGATACACTCGCGCCGCCCGTGACCATTGATGAGTTGCAAGTCGATGCCGAAAACACTATACCGGGCAAGTACCGGCAAGCCACATGGGAGTCGGCCTCTTCCGTGAGTTCGGGGCCAAGGCATGATCCGAAGCCTTGGTCAAGGGCAGCCTTTGGATATTGGAGGAGTCCACACCGCAGAAGGTGAGCAGCACGTTTCGAGTCAGGATGAGAACTGGGCACCGGATTTCTGGGAGTCGAGGCAAAGCGGCAACCCGATCACCGAAGTTACTGGCCTGGTTTGTGGCTGTTATGGCAATGGTGTTGCGCCAGCATTGCGACGGCACCACTTACTACATTTACTACTTTTTTGCACACATGGGCTGCTGCCGCTGGAGCTGGACGGAGGCTGGCCGCAGAGCGGCGCAGCAAGTGATCACGGAATTGAAGGCCAGGGCAGTGGATGCGAGATCATACGAGCAAACCTCAGCTCTTTAGAGAAGAGACGCTCCAGGCCCGAAAATGTTCGACCTCGGCCCACATCCCTGAGATTCATGCACGGACACGAAATACCTAAGTGTCAGCAACAGCCAAACAAAACCAAATTGATGACATCAAGTCATGTTTTGCCTCACCCACGAAGAAAATAAGCCTCTTTGAGAAACTTGAAGACTTGAAGAAAAACTTCAAGACATTATGCTGTGCCACGCCTGAGCAAGGACGGTTCGCGCGTGAACATGTCCACATTCCAAAATGGGGCCATGCTGCACAGCTTGGAACTCGTGCTACAGTAACGCAGCTAGCGTACTTGCAGCTTGCGGGTGTGCATCCGTGCCTCTGCATGGCGCTCATGGCATGACACGTTGTATTTAAACATATTACACATCACTTTCACTGAGGTCATGCGTCCACACCAACCTGACCTCACGTGCGTCTGGCAACAAACGTGCCTGACTGTGGAAGCAATACTCAGGGCGAAGGCTCACAATCCACACCCCACCCCTCAAGTTTCAGACAAACAAATTGCATGAAAGGCACTGCGGCATGCAGAGGCGCAGCCCCAGCATTTGTGATGGAACCTGATTACACAATATTGTGCATGCACACTTTCTGAGTTTAAACAGACGAGCACGTCGAATTTAGTCACGAGCTTCCGTGCACGAACGGGTAACAACACCACAGACTCACTGACTCACGACTACATCTCACGACTCACTCCATCTCACTGTTCTCCGGCACTCCCCGGCCTAAAGATGCCCGGACCTCCAGCAGCAACTGCACCACCTGTGCTGTCTCTCACTGCTAGAGTATCACTCGAAGTTGTTCCTGACCTTTGTAACAATCACCGATTCGCCTGTTTATCGAACGACCGCCCGAAACGAGGCCGGCATGGGGAGAGAACCAGAAGCACCGCCACAATCCGCCACAACAGCAGCCACTGCAGCAATAGTATCAAAGACATGTGCGGGGCTTTTGCGCCCAGGAGATTCTAGGGATTGCTGTGTGAGCCTGCCGTTTGTACGAGGCTGCGGGTCTGAGGTTTTAGGATGGTTCAGGCTGTGCGAGGGCGGATTCGTTTTTGTTTCGACCGTCTCGAAGGCACGGAAGATGACCAAAGCTTGGTCAGCGCAGGACGGTTGGCTATTTCATGCTATTTCCAATTTCAGGCTTGGACATTCGCAAGATGGCAAAAACCTCAGCAAGCTCGCGGTCGACACAAGACACAAGCAAAGTAACTGGCGAGCACAAGAGATGTGACACCCCTATGTGACACCCCTCCCACGCAGAATGCGCCCCTTCAACCTTAAAAAACTGAAGCTTGCAATCCTTGAGAAGTCGAACCCACACCCACCCACTAAGCACCCAGAAGCCACCTCTGTCCGACCTTGCTGTGAAGCAAGGTGCAATGCCGTGGCCTTGGCGGCGCAATTTGAACAGGAACCAGCTCGGCTGCTTTTGAATGAAAGAACAGTGTAAGAACCCTCGATTCATTCTAGGTTGAAAAAACCCATGAAAAAGTCTGCGCTCCCCAGCGCTTAACAAGGATCCATCTTCTGTGAGTTTGGTCGGGCTCCCCGTCCTCTTGTAGGTCAGCGGCATGGATATTCCAGTCGATATTTATGAGCCCCCATCTCATTGCGAATCCTCCCTTTCCTCTAGATTCTGGTCTATATTCTCTCGAGGTTTCAAACATCCACTTTCTCTTTTTAGTTCAGAAACCCTCTATTGCCTTTCCATGTCAACCCTAAATCTCCTCTGTATCGTCTTTCCACTCTTGTTGGACGAAACCAGAAATCTCCACACCTTCCTCTATCAGTCACATGAGCTTTTGCAATCCCACACGCCCAGTCTGCTGCTGGGGACCCTGCTCCCTGGTCATTTCGAGCTTCCAACTCTGCACCACGGGACAGCCTTGCGTCCGAGTGATCACAAGCTGCCCACAAGAGAATGCAAGAGGAGCTCTCTCAGAACTGGTCACACCGTTGACAAGTCCTCTCCGAATGCCTAGGTGACCCATCACACCGTTCCATATGCCCTCAAATACACTATCCCGCAAACGTTGCGGCCACGAGGCAAAAGTTGAGCTGTCTCCACATGTCCGCGCCGAGCAGCTTCGTGTAGCGGGGCCTTGGTGGCTCTTTTGAATTCTTTGGTGATTCTTTGGTGAGCTAACTTTTGTTGGGCTCTTTGCTTGGTTGAGCCTTGGCATGGTAACTTGGCCCATCTTAGCCGCTTTACCATGCAAATCAGGGATCATCAGATGTGCTGCCATTTGTTTGTGCTTGTTTGGCAACATCTTGCTGACAATCATTCTACAACACTCTACTCCAAGAATTACGAGAAAAAAACATGTCTACGCCGTCCCACTCACCCACAGCCGGGTCCGCGCACAGATGCTGGCATGTTCGGAGAAGCTCTGGCATCCAGCAACAGCTTGACCACGCCGTCCCTGCCATGCCTTACTGCTCTCGGGGGGCATTCTTGGATGCTTTTCTTTTCTAATTGACTAGAGTCCACGTCATATCAAAGCAATACTTGTCACTTGCATTTTGCCTGTCTTAACCAACGCTTCCAGATTTCCGAAAAGACTGGACTTTCGGTCCTTGGTTCTTTTCAGTGACTGGCGGTGCTAAGAGCCCAGGCAAGCATTTTAGACCTCAGATGCACCTCGCGATCTGATGCGGCATAGAACTCTGAGCGGGGGGAGACACATGACCAAGTTCTGGGACAGAGTAATTTCTACAAAGCTGCACATTGATGTCTCGTACGTTCTCTGACGATGTTCGGGATCCCAGAAGTTGGTTGCTATCTGGCATGTAAGCGCCGGAGTCTGCGAGCCGCGGCGACTGGTGCGAGCGTGGGCTTGCTTGTTAACGCGCTTCAAGATTAAAGGACCACCATAACTGTACGGATGTCAACGCGGGCAGCTGTGCCAGACACCCTCAAGCCGCACCCTCTTGAGAAGCAATGGCTGCAAAATCGGCTTCTCCGATCCACCTCCACCTGGCGATCTTTCCATCAAGGCGTTTTTGGCAAAAGGAGGCCCCTGTCCTCAAGACCTGCCAACAAAAGGAACAGCCGGTTGAGCTTTGAGCATTGTCAGCATGACGCAGCGAATGCTGCACCAGGACTTCAGGCACTGGCGTCGGACCGACCTGCCCTAAAGGCCAGCCACTGCGCAACTCAAAGGACGGGCGAGCTACCCATGCTATTGCTGAGGGCACTCTCGGACAGAATTGTGAACAGCAAATAAGGATTCAAGCGGGCCACTACCGGGGCGTCCGTGCTTGCGATGCAATCAGCTACAACATGGCACCAGGCAGAGAACATCAGTACCAGAGCTTCAGTATCAGATTAACCTCCTTACCTGCTTTTCCTGCTCACATTGGGACTGATAATGTTTTCCCGATCGAGGTGAATTGTTTGCGGGGATTTCGCATGTGGCGCAGATCTGGCTGATCATCACGACGCCGTTCAGCCAGAATTCTTGACACTTCGAGCGCTCGGGCTGCACGGGCATGGTAAAGGGGGCGCAGCTGCGGAATCCTTCGAAACAAGGCTGCTGTGAGGACACCTGCAAGAAGTCTTCCACTTAGATACAGGATGGGCCGGGGTTGAAAGGACCCAGACACGTGCCGGCCGACAACAACGAAAAAGCTTTGTGACGTGGCTGCATTTGGCTACCCTCAGGTGTTTCCAGCAAGGATCACGCGTTCTCAGAAGCGCCTGGATGGGTTCACAATCATGTTTGGCCAGGTGCTATACGACTTTCCCTCTTTTCATGTTAAATGCCCCAAAAAAATTGGACGAACAAAGCAAGAGAAGCCCGAAAAACAGCCCACATAAGGGCCGCGCTGTGCGGCAGCCAACAACGGCGGCCATGCGCCAGGCACGCCCGGCACGTTGGGGACGCTCGGGGCGGCGCGTGCTTCGAGGAGCTCCTGCTCTCATCTGGTTGTCACAGCTCTGGGGACTCAAACCCCCCCCCTGTCCAAAGGTACAGAAAAGTCAGAAGTTGCTTTTGTTGAAACTTCGACTGGATGCTCCACCCCTCTTGAGGAAGCATGTCCTGGATAAAGACAAGAACCCCCTATAAACCAGGCCATATGTTTATTTGCTCCCAAAACACTGAGCAAACAGGGTAGACTTAGCCAAAAAGGGTTTACAGCCAAGTCGTTTTGCTTTCCGGTCCCGAAAGGTTAGGATTTTTGTTGATATTCCCAAAACCTGGTCGTTCACTTTGTTTCATCGGTTCTGCTGCCCACTTCGGTCCTTTGAGCCAAGTGAAACCAAGCGTGTTCTACCACACACTGGCATGCTTCATGCATCTTCCCCCCCCCCCACCTCAGAAAGCTGCGAAAGTTCGCTACAACAAAGGTTTCTGTCAAAGTTTGCACTTGCAAACTAATGAGCGTGGGACTTAACATCACATCTAATGAATCCTGCTGGAAGTCGCCTTTCCTATGCCTGGCTCCTCAGCGAAATACTTCTCACCCGAACACAAGCTTCACACTGCCAATGAGGATGGAGTCGGCATGTCTGCTTCGCGTGCGAACAGCCCCGTCTGGAAGGCACATCTTGGTCGACCCCTCTCCTCCACACAGTCGCAGTGGCCAGCACGAGCTGCCAGTGCCACTGCACTGCTAGCACTTTTCGAAGTCAAGGCCTGCACACGCAAACAAACCGTCTGCCTTTGCAAGTAGCATAAGGCAGTTGTCTGCCCACCTCGACATTCGCCCGGTTTTGCAGGAGAAGCTTGACCTAGGCGCAAGGGCAGTGAAGCGAAGCCTCCATCAATAAGCTGGCCTTAAACCGCAATCCTGGGGCCACCACCAACTCGCTTCTGCCTGACTCTGCAGCCTCTCAGAAAGGACGATCTGAAACGCGGTGAAACAGCACCACGACATAGCGGCACGGGAACTTGCTTGAGGCTACTGTAGGCCCCCAGGCAGCATGGAGCGGAGCGCGGCCGCTGGCAGCTGCCCTAAGAGAAGTAGAAAAAGGATCAGAAAAAAGACATGGCACATCATGGAATCCTGGCGTAGTGATCCGGACTGTCAGGTTACCTCATCTTAATGCACCCTATGCTGCTTCTGGTGCTTCTCATGGCAGCACAGAAGAATCTGCACAGGTTTGCTGCTTTTCGAGAATGACACACACCGCAGGCACCCAGGAACAAGCCAGAAGGGGCCATGAGCGCAGTCCATGAGTTCACAAGCTCCACCCCGAACTGCGGTTCAGGAGCTTGTTGGCATCTGCACGGGCCGCAAGAAGCGCAGAAACAACGCCGCCATGACCAGGGCGACAGGCCTCGCCACAAATGCTGCTAGAATGGACTGCAAGCACGATCTCTACGATCTCTGCTGGTTTGGTCTGCCCTCGTCTGTGCCCCCCGCCAGAAGCAAGGCAGTGGCGCCGTCGTCCTCCAAAGTTCCGGAGTACGAAGTTCAAGCCAGGACTTCTCTTTGGAGCCGCACCAGACGTGCAAAGTCAGTCACTTTGCAGACACCACATTACACCTTTGTACGCCATGTTGGTGTACTCATGTGTCATACTGCCAGCTTACACCGCCTGAGTCGAGTTTGCCGCGGCGCGGGAGTGGAGGAGGAGTCGAACTGCCGCCTGACATCGTCATTGGCATAACAAATAATGCAATAGCAGTAGCACAGACCAGAAGCAGATTCATTAGCCTTGGCAAGGTGAGGAGAATGCAAAGGTGAAGCGTCTTTGCATGCAAACTCCTTGCGCCTCTGCGCATGTTTGATGTTCAGTTGGAACCGCTTGGCTGCGTCGACTACATTCTTCTGGAGATTTTGTTCCCACCAACCGATACGTAGCGGATGCGGATACTCTGGCCAGAACCCTGCCCTCGTGCCTCACGGCCAGTCGCTGAAGCAGCTCGGAGCCCCGCATCCAGAGAGGCCTTGCAAGAAGGCTCCAGATGGCGTTGGGGGGTTTTCTTGAGTTGTCAGGCTGCAGGGCTACAGGTGCAGGGGTGCACGGCTCTGCATCGCACAAGGCGCAAAAAGCTTCAGACAGCTTGGCCTGCTCCGGCATTGGAACGTTGCCAGCAGCCGGTAGCAGCAGTGGCAGCAGCAGCAAGGCAAGGGTATTGAGTTGTGCCAGGGGCCTCAGAGAAAGCTTGAGAAAAGGGAGAGGCGTGGTTTCGAACAGAAAGGCTAGGTAGCATGCAGACATCCTGAAACTGAGCTTCCTCGTCCTTGGCTGGCATGGACCATGTCTTTCTGAGTGCTGCACACTCCACGGAGCACCACCGCAGCTGCAGACCGATGGCCATGGAGAATTGCCAAGTCCTGGGCACGAATTGCTGCAGCGTTTCAAGAAGAAAGGTCTGCGCAGGCAGCAGAGACGTGCCCGCAACTTCAGGCTTTGAGCTGCGCTGCCATGCTGCTTGGATCAGGTCTATGCACTCATGAATCGTCGTGCAACATCCGCTCGTTGAGCTGCAATCTGAACTCCCAGAACTGCAACAAGCGGTGTTCTCATCGAGATTTGGGAAAGGGCATGCCGGGGCCGTGACTGCTGGCAGCAATCCCTGATCATCACGGGACATCTGCCCTGTCGGTTCATGGGAAAAAGAAGGGTTGTGGCAGATGACAAACTGCTCCCACCGACGGAGCTTGACCTATCCGAACAAAACCCAAGATGGCCTGCACCATTGGTCAGCGTGATGATGGCTGTGGCCGCCACAGCATCTCCTTCTCGGCAGGCCTCTCTAGCAGCGGAACAGCTGAAACTCTGAAAGCTTCAGGTTCGTGCCTTTTCGCGCACGGAACACAGCTTGTGAACAACGGAAGCCGGCTCCAAAAGCGGGTCATGGCATGGAAGACCCTCGGGACCCTTGCTGGGCCTTTGAGTAGGGCTGCTTCACACGGCGCCCCCTCGCCAAAACAGTCCTCAACAACCCTGCTCTCCATGATCAGCCTTGTGCAGCAGGCTGGTGTGGCGCTCACCCTCGTCGCCCTTGTCGCCCTCGACTGAGACCGAGCGCTCGAAACGAGCAACGGTCTCCTGCAGCTTCTGCCTGACTCGGGATGGCTCAAAACCTGACCCAAGAAGCTCTCCTCTGCCGACTCTGCCTTAAAGGCCTGAAGCCTATCAATCCAAATTTCCGGGATGGGAACGCGTGGCACACGACATGCACACGACAGGCTCTCAGGGCCTTTGCTCACTCGGGTCCAGCTGCTTCAGCCTGGGGTTCGGCTTTGGGTCTCAGGGCAGTGCCTGCCCTCGTCCTACACAGGAAACGGGTTTCCTACCTGCAAGGAACTTTATTTGGCATACTTGGCGCGGGGCTCCATTATCTCCCTGGGCGTGAGCTGGTCTGCCACAAGAGACCTGAGGGCAAACTGCAGCGTGCCAAAATCAACCAAGCTCAGTCTTGTACTACGTACTGTTCCCAATCTGCTAAACCGGCAATGCTGAATTAGGTCTGAAAATCATCTACCGGCCTGACTGCACTCCAGTGTGCCACGGCCCCAGTCGATGGTCCCTCTCACAAAAGAATTTGCAGGCATCAGCCAAGGGCTAGGGCACAGAAAGAGAATGCATCTTAACTGCAGAAACAATCGCGCGCAACCTGGTTGCTGCCATTCAGGGTGTCGTTCGAGCATGCAATTTTGCAACTGGTTTCCGACAGGTTGCCGACTACGTGTGGGATCATGTGGGCAATGAGTAGAGATTCGGGACCTTTGTGGGTGACCTTGTCAACTAGACAAAATTGCATCGCGGAGCTTGCCTCTTCTCTGTGCTCCTCTCCCGCCTCCTGGGTCAGGGGTGAAACTTTGGCTTGCTTTTGGGTGCGGGAGGGGTTCCGTCATGTTCCGTCACTCTCATGCACGGCATACGGTGCTGACGGCTGCTGACTGCAGCTTTCGCGTTGAAAAATGCAATGCATGACACAAGAAAGCTTGGGAGCATGACACGTGTCGACGAACAGAAAACACATGTTGCGTTGCCGTTGTAGATCATTCGAAATACTATAATACTATACTTGTCGCCGTTTCGGGGTTTCGAAAGTTAGCAGCCCAAGGAAACGATCAACTGCTCGAGTTGCGGCTGCACCTCCGCAGCCATCCGCACTTTCTCTTCCACCTCTCGTCGTTCCTCTTCTCTTCTAAGCTGCTCCTGGCCACCAAACTTGCTGAGCCACCCCCTCGTCTCTCAATGTCTTTGCACCCGCTGCAAAATTGTACACGCATTTGGGAAACATGCTAGCCTCTTCTCTGCGTCGCTGCTCCAACTCCTTCTCTATCCGTCGCTGTTCTTCCTCTGCCTGGGCCCTCTCACGCTGCAGCTGCTCCTCCGCCGCAATCCGCATTCTCTCCTCTGCTTCTCTTTGCGCGTGCTCTCGTTGAAGATGCTCCTGGCAACTTGCACTACACAATCTCGGGGAACTGACGACAGCACAACACGCTGCAGATAGCTGGCCTCTTCTCTGCGACGCTCCTCTTCCGCCTCCATTGCCTGTCGCTCCTGCTCCGCCTGCGCAAGTGCGAGTTGCTGCTGCTCCTCGGCAGCCATCCGTGCTTTCTCTTCCGCCTCTCGTCGTTCCTCCTGGCAATCAAACTTACTGAGTCACTGAGTCACTCCCTCTTGGTCTCTCAACGTCTTTGCACCCGCTGCAAAATTCTACACGCATTTGGGAAACATGCTAGCCTCTTCTCTGCGTCGCTGCTCCAACTCCTCCTCTATCCGTCGCTGTTCTTCCTCTGCCTGGGCCCTCTCACGCTGCAGCTGCTCCTCCGCCGCAATCCGCATTCTCTCCTCTGCTTCTCTTTGCGCGTGCTCTCGTTGAAGACGCTCCTGGCAACTTGCACTACACAATCTCGGGGAACTGACGACAGCACAACACGCTGCAGATAGCTGGCCTCTTCTCTGCGACGCTCCTCTTCCGCCTCCATTGCCTGTCGCTCCTGCTCCGCCTGCGCAAGTGCGAGTTGCTGCTGCTCCTCGGCAGCCATCCGTGCTTTCTCTTCCGCCTCTCGTCGTTCCTCCTGGCAATCAAACTTACTGAGTCACTGAGTCACTCCCTCTTGGTCTCTCAACGTCTTTGCACCCGCTGCAAAATTCTACACGCATTTGGGAAACATGCTAGCCTCTTCTCTGCGTCGCTGCTCCAACTCCTCCTCTATCCGTCGCTGTTCTTCCTCTGCCTGGGCCCTCTCACGCTGCAGCTGCTCCTCCGCCGCAATCCGCATTCTCTCCTCTGCTTCTCTTTGCGCGTGCTCTCGTTGAAGACGCTCCTGGCAACTTGCACTACACAATCTCGGGGAACTGACGACAGCACAACACGCTGCAGATAGCTGGCCTCTTCTCTGCGACGCTCCTCTTCCGCCTCCATTGCCTGTCGCTCCTGCTCCGCCTGCGCAAGTGCGAGTTGCTGCTGCTCCTCGGCAGCCATCCGTGCTTTCTCTTCCGCCTCTCGTCGTTCCTCCTAACAATCAAACTTACTGAGTCACTGAGTCACTCCCTCTTGGTCTCTCAACGTCTTTGCGCCCGCTGCAAAATTCTACACTTTCCCAAATGCTAGCCTCTTCTCTGCGTCGCTGCTCCAACTCCTCCTCTATACGTCGCTGTTCTTCCTCTGCCTGGGCCCTCTCACGCTGCAGCTGCTCCTCCGCCGCAATCCGCATTCTCTCCTCTGCTTCTCTTTGCGCGTGCTCTCGTTGAAGACGCTCCTGGCAACTTGCACTACACAATCTCGGGGAACTGACGACAGCACAACACGCTGCAGATAGCTGGCCTCTTCTCTGCGACGCTCCTCTTCCGCCTCCATTGCCTGTCGCTCCTGCTCCGCCTGCGCAAGTGCGAGTTGCTGCTGCTCCTCGGCAGCCATCCGTGCTTTCTCTTCCGCCTCTCGTCGTTCCTCCTGGCAATCAAACTTACTGAGTCACTGAGTCACTCCCTCTTGGTCTCTCAACGTCTTTGCACCCGCTGCAAAATTCTACACGCATTTGGGAAACATGCTAGCCTCTTCTCTGCGTCGCTGCTGCAATTCCTCCTCTATCCGTCGCTGTTCTTCCTCTGCCTGGGCCCTCTCACGCTGCAGCTGCTCCTCCGCCGCAATCCGCATTCTCTCCTCTGCTTCTCTTTGCGCGTGCTCTCGTTGAAGACGCTCCTGGCAACTTGCACTACACAATCTCGGGGAACTGACGACAGCACAACACGCTGCAGATAGCTGGCCTCTTCTCTGCGACGCTCCTCTTCCGCCTCCATTGCCTGTCGCTCCTGCTCCGCCTGCGCAAGTGCGAGTTGCTGCTGCTCCTCGGCAGCCATCCGTGCTTTCTCTTCCGCCTCTCGTCGTTCCTCCTAACAATCAAACTTACTGAGTCACTGAGTCACTCCCTCTTGGTCTCTCAACGTCTTTGCGCCCGCTGCAAAATTCTACACTTTCCCAAATGCTAGCCTCTTCTCTGCGTCGCTGCTCCAACTCCTCCTCTATACGTCGCTGTTCTTCCTCTGCCTGGGCCCTCTCACGCTGCAGCTGCTCCTCCGCCGCAATCCGCATTCTCTCCTCTGCTTCTCTTTGCGCGTGCTCTCGTTGAAGATGCTCCTGGCAACTTCAACTTGCACTACACAATCTCGGGGAACTGACGACAGCACAACACGCTGCAGATAGCTGGCCTCTTCTCTGCGACGCTCCTCTTCCGCCTCCATTGCCTGTCGCTCCTGCTCCGCCTGCGCAAGTGCGAGTTGCTGCTGCTCCTCGGCAGCCATCCGTGCTTTCTCTTCCGCCTCTCGTCGTTCCTTCTGGCAATCAAACTTACTGAGTCACTGAGTCACTCCCTCTTGGTCTCTCAACGTCTTTGCACCCGCTGCAAAATTCTACACGCATTTGGGAAACATGCTAGCCTCTTCTCTGCGTCGCTGCTGCAATTCCTCCTCTATCCGTCGCTGTTCTTCCTCTGCCTGGGCCCTCTCACGCTGCAGCTGCTCCTCCGCCGCAATCCGCATTCTCTCCTCTGCTTCTCTTTGCGCGTGCTCTCGTTGAAGACGCTCCTGGCAACTTGCACTACACAATCTCGGGGAACTGACGACAGCACAACACGCTGCAGATAGCTGGCCTCTTCTCTGCGACGCTCCTCTTCCGCCTCCATTGCCTGTCGCTCCTGCTCCGCCTGCGCAAGTGCGAGTTGCTGCTGCTCCTCGGCAGCCATCCGTGCTTTCTCTTCCGCCTCTCGTCGTTCCTCCTGGCAATCAAACTTACTGAGTCACTGAGTCACTCCCTCTTGGTCTCTCAACGTCTTTGCACCCGCTGCAAAATTCTACACGCATTTGGGAAACATGCTAGCCTCTTCTCTGCGTCGCTGCTCCAACTCCTCCTCTATCCGTCGCTGTTCTTCCTCTGCCTGGGCCCTCTCACGCTGCAGCTGCTCCTCCGCCGCAATCCGCATTCTCTCCTCTGCTTCTCTTTGCGCGTGCTCTCGTTGAAGACGCTCCTGGCAACTTGCACTACACAATCTCGGGGAACTGACGACAGCACAACACGCTGCAGATAGCTGGCCTCTTCTCTGCGACGCTCCTCTTCCGCCTCCATTGCCTGTCGCTCCTGCTCCGCCTGCGCAAGTGCGAGTTGCTGCTGCTCCTCGGCAGCCATCCGTGCTTTCTCTTCCGCCTCTCGTCGTTCCTCTGGCAATCAAACTTACTGAGTCACTGAGTCACTCCCTCTTGGTCTCTCAACGTCTTTGCACCCGCTGCAAAATTCTACACGCATTTGGGAAACATGCTAGCCTCTTCTCTGCGTCGCTGCTCCAACTCCTCCTCTATCCGTCGCTGTTCTTCCTCTGCCTGGGCCCTCTCACGCTGCAGCTGCTCCTCCGCCGCAATCCGCATTCTCTCCTCTGCTTCTCTTTGCGCGTGCTCTCGTTGAAGACGCTCCTGGCAACTTGCACTACACAATCTGGGGGAACTGACGACAGCACAACACGCTGCAGATAGCTGGCCTCTTCTCTGCGACGCTCCTCTTCCGCCTCCATTGCCTGTCGCTCCTGCTCCGCCTGCGCAAGTGCGAGTTGCTGCTGCTCCTCGGCAGCCATCCGTGCTTTCTCTTCCGCCTCTCGTCGTTCCTCCTGGCAATCAAACTTACTGAGTCACTGAGTCACTCCCTCTTGGTCTCTCAACGTCTTTGCACCCGCTGCCAAATTCTACACGCATTTGGGAAACATGCTAGCCTCTTCTCTGCGTCGCTGCTCCAACTCCTCCTCTATCCGTCGCTGTTCTTCCTCTGCTTGGGCCCTCTCACGCTGCAGCTGCTCCTCCGCCGCAATCCGCAATTTCTCCTCCGCTTCTCTTTGCGCGTGCTCTCGTCGCAGACGTTCCTGGCAACTTGCGCTCGACAGCTGCCCAATGCTACACGAATTTGGGAAACGTGCTGGCCTCTTCTCTGCGTCGCCGCTCCAACTCCTCCTCTATCCGTCGCTGTTCTTCCTCTGCCTGGGCCCTCTCACGCTGCAACTGCTCCTCCGCCACCATCCGCAATTTCTCCTCCGCTTCTCTTTGCGCGTGCTCTTGTTGAAGACGCTCCTGGCAACTTGCGCTCACCAACACTCGGCTGTCCCAGTCTTACAAAATATAAACACATCGGCCCAGATGCGAATCAGGAACGACCAACATGACTCGAAGACTGGGAACTGCCGAGACAGCACAACAGACTAAAGAGAACTGGCCTCTTCTCCGCGATGCTGCTCTTCCGCCTCCATGCAGTGTCTTTCCCTCTCCACCTGTGCACGTTCGAGTTGCTGCTGCTTCTCCGTTTCCATCCGTGCTTTCGCTTCCGTCTCTCGTCGTTCCTCTTCCCTTCTGAGCTGCTCCTGGCAATCAAACTTACTAATTTGTCTCCCAATGCATCTGCTTCCGCGGAAAACTGCACGGATTAAGGGGAACACACCAGTTTTGTTTCTTACTGTCCGCTGCCATGTGACATGAACGAATGCTCTGTCGCTGCAACTGCTCCTCTGCCACCATCCGCATTTTCTCCTCTGCTTCTGCACGCGTTTGCTCTTGCAGACGATGCTCCTAGCAACTTGCACTCACCAACGCTTGCCAGTGTCAGTCGGACAAAACCAGAACAGCTCCTCCACTGCTGGCCATCTCTCCTCCGGAGCCTCCACGCGGTCAGCCGCAGGTACTGTTTTCCAGTAGTTCCGGGTTGCCAGATGATAGATGTTGCTAAGCGACCCTATTCCTCGACATGCCTGGACAACCCAACGCATCCCTACGAACTACGAACTCTCGCTTATCCTCGGGATCTCTACCTTTGCCACACACTATCTATCATGTACCTCCAGCCTGTCGAGCCCTTGAAACTTCAGAGCACCAAATTCTGCGTCCCTGCATTAAAATACCGCGCCGGGCGATGTCGGAGCTGGTGGTGCCAGACCTCTACCTCAAGCTCAGTCAGAGCTCCGATCTCTCACGCCGCTGTTCCGAGCTCAAAATAAGTTCGAGAACCTGGCGCTTTCTGATGAAGTGAGTCAGGCCAAAGAGCTTACAAACAAGGACGGAATCTCAGCAATCCACCACCGCCCCAATCCAAGAACTGAGAGAACTCTTGACCGAGCCACTGCGCGGTGCTCCGCGTCAGCCTCCAAAATGCAAGTCTGCAAAAAAAGCTCGTCTGGCTACACCCTGAAACCAATGAAAGCTCATCAGCCAAAAGGTTCTAAAAGCATCTTCAAGTTGAAAGAAGAGCCCCGCGAGGCATGCCAGAATCAGAATGCCTCCCGGCAGCCTTCTGCAAAAGCTGCAATGAGAGAAGGATTAGAACTTGATTCAGAACCACTACTCCGTACGGAGCGAAAAACCGCATCAAGATTTTAAATCATTTTAACAACTGGCCTGGGCCTGGAGCCGGATACGCTGGATCCGCCACTGCTCAGACTGCTCTGCCTCCTGAAGAGCT